ATAATATTTAGTTAATTTGAATTATATTCAAAAAAATAAAAAATAAAAAATTACCCACTTAAAACTAAAAGAAAATTAAATTTGCACCATAGCTTAAGGTTGATTCGAATAAACTTAGGCTTCGTTTGGAACTGCTGTCTTCCTACTTCGTAAAGTGATTTTTTAGTACAAAAATTTTAAATATTGTACTAGAAGGATGTTTTAAGAAGCAGGAAAAAAGCCAAAAAAATGAAGCCTTATTTAAGACAACTTTCTTACTGCTTCTTAAAGCAGCTTTTTAGTACAAAAAAATTATACTAGAAAGCTGCTCTAAGCATTAAGAAAGCCGTCACAAACAAAACCTCATGCATCGTTTGAGATAGTTTTCTTACCGCTTTCTTAAGCAATTTTGTAGTAAATAAACTTTTTGAAATAAAATTTTTTATACTAAAAAGTATTTTAGAAAACAGTAAGAAAACTATCTCAAACGAAACTTGCCACACAATGGTTAAAAATTGTGTTCATTGCTCCTTAAAATAGGTTTACAACAACTGAATGTCTCCTCCCTACTCATATTAATCTCATTCTCTCATGTCATTTATCCACCCTCTTCTAACATTATCAACCCTCACCAATCTCTCCTAACAACAATCTCCATTTCTCTCCATAACTCCATTCTCCTTAATTTCCTCCCCCACTCTTTTTCAAGAGCAATTATTACGTCCGGTCATCGAATGTGTTCATCGACCAATAACCACGCGCCACATCGCCTAAAACTCGGTATTGAACACTCAGTATTGCTCGGTATACATTCGAATATGTTCGGATTTGATCGGACGTAATAATTGCTCCTCTTTCAAACATCCATCAACAAAGTTAGTTTTTTTAGCAGTTGCATAATATATATATGTTTTGTTTGGGATGACTTTTTTACTGTTTCTTAAAATAATTTTTTGAAAGCAGAAAGCTGCTTTAAGAAGTAAAAAAGCCATTCCAAATGAAACCATAATTATGTTTGTGTTGTAATTTATTAAGGATATTTATGCAGATTATCTAGCAAGCTTTCACACTTTTTCATCCTATGTACATTTAGGACAAGCTAAATTTATGTCATTTCATTGCATGTATTTTGAATAGTTTAAAAACAAGTCAATTTTTAACAAAGTATATTTATTAGGTCATTAATGCTACATAAGAATTCATCAATACTCTAATCCTAAAATACCCCCATTTAGTGATTATATAAAATAAGTAATATTCATTTGAAATGATAGTATCATATGTCTTGATATTTACATGAATATATTTTGATATAAGAGAGTGGTTGAGAGAGTCATCTTAGATGATTTGATCACATAAAACGTCAGTCTGTCGATGATCTGATTAAGAGAGTAGATATATATTAGATTCGGTCTATGTTAAGAAATGTAGAAATAGTCCTAAAAAAACTTGATTAGAGAGTATTAAAAATGACCTATGTCAAAATAAATAAATAAATAAATAAAAATGACTTATGTTTATTAGATTTAAATGAGAATTTAACTCTTCATAGGACACAATACAACAACAACATTAAGACCCACTATGTGGGGTCGGCTACATGAATCCTTTTTCTACATTGTGTCCTATTAAAAACCAAATTCTCGTTTAAATCTAATAAAAAAAGATCATTTCTAATATTTTCTAACAAAGTATTTTTATGTCTATCTCTATCTTTCTTAACATAAGTCAAATCTAACACCTTTACTTTCCTAACTGGGTCATCAGAAGGCTGCCGTTTTATATGACCAAACCATCTAAGGCGACTCTCTAATCTTATCTTCCACTGGCGCTAATCCAACTTTTTCATGTATATGCTCATTTCGTATCCTATCTCTAAGGGTAAAGCCACTCATCCACCCGAGCATCCTCATCATTTGCAACACTTAACTTAGTATTATGCTTCTCTTTTAATGGCCAACATTCGACACCATAAAACATTACAGGTCTTACCACCATCTTATAGAATTTTCCCTTAAGTTTGAGGGGGACTTTCTATCACACAACAAGCCCGATGCATTCCTCCTGTCTAACTATTGAATCTTGAACCTCTTCTTCCAGTTCAATATCTGATTCAGTTTTCACAACCTTGAAAATAGGATATATTAGTTATGTATTGAGAAGCATATGTAATTCACTTTAATGACCACAACATGAATATATTGCCACTCAGATCACACAGACATATAACACTGACAATATAACTGATGCAACATAATATCTATTTACATTGATTAAAGATAATATAGATTGATTGATCAGTATGCCTATTAGATCGTATATTTTTTAAATTTATTTTTGAATATGTAAATTAAAAGAATTAAATGTTGTCGTTCAATAGACTTTAGGTCATATAGGAAAACTTGCTATGAAGAGCACATTATAGAAACGTTATTGCATGCACCAGAAACTTGTATAAGCCAATCATTGCCCCAATCTTACATAAGAAGGATTGCATTCTTGGTTGAATATGTTCCAACTTCATAGGTTAATTTTGAATGGTTAAGGAAGATTATGAAATGATGGATAGTGCCTCAAGTGATGTTCCAACATGAATGAAAATTGATGATTTTATCAATAAGTTATATAAAGTCAACTGTTGTGGGCTAGAATATTTGCAGCGGTAAAGTATTAAATTTTACATCTTAGCATTGCACGAATATCCATCTCATAAATTGAGAGAGTAGAAACACCATAATTTTTTACATGAAAAGTTCTAAAGGGAAAGAACACAGGGTCATACCCAGTTGAAATAAATCCACTAGTGTTTGAATAGATTACAAATGATTGATTCGTCCTTAAACTTGAGAACAATCACTTACAATAGTCAACCGTCGAATTGAAATCTAGTGACGAACATTTTGTATTAAGAAGTCCGGCTAAGGTCGGTGGCCAGGCATAAATCTGGCTTTTGTTAATGCCTGGGCGAAAGTCCGACGACAACTGGTGGTCAGGCCGAGCGATGGTCGAGCAGGAGTGGTGGCAAGAAAACTTTGATTTCCCTTCCTTTCCTCACTTACTTATTTTGGTCCTCAGTGAGAAATGAGGTGTCTATTTATAATCTTCAGGGAGTGACATGACTAGTAAATAGGAAGATGATCAAGAGCTACGAATAGTGTTTTGAATGGACAACCGAGATATCGACTTCCTTTATCGTGGACAATTTATCTAGTATTAGAGTGTCTTCATGATATTAAAATTATATGATCTTGGTCTCGTTGGATTCATCTCATCAAGCTGCTCGATTCGATTATAAGCATGTCACATTTGAAAATCATTTGGCTGTCCAAATTATGATCTGAATTTTTCAAATGCACTTTGGGTCCTTGATTTTGACCCATTTGCGCTCGAATTTGGTAGAATTAGGTGTAGTTTGGGTCTGTCTTTTCAAGACATTCAGTTTGACTGTCAGTTTGCTAAAATGGGTGTTCGGATGGTACCCGATTTAATTTCGGAAGTTTCCAATTCAAACTTGCCTTGAAATTTGTGCCCGATCACAAAAATTATTTGATGATGTATCACCAACCAATATGAGTTTGGTGGTCATAACAGCATACATGTGCATATCTTTGCTTGAATCCAAATTTTTTATGAAAATGATTTCTACTCCTATTTATTTAATTTTTTTCGACAATGCAATAATGGGATGAGGACACCAAACATTATTTGTCATTGCATAATCCCAATAGCAAGTCGCCAACTAAACTTCAAACGCAAACAAAATAAAAGGTGCATAGAGGTAAAATTTAGTGTCAAAGTTTCTTATATCAAAGCATGTGATTGAAGATGAAGTTGTTAAAAACTCTTTCTATGGGCAATATATCAACACAATTTGCTGTTGTAGAGATCTATAGATTTCAAAAGCTAACGGTAAAGATTTTAAAAAGAAAGAAATGTTCGTGAAACAGAGCGATTTCAAAAGGAACTCTTATTTCAAATAGTCTAATTTTGAAGTAGGATGCTGATAAGAGGATGTGAGAAGAAGCTCTAATTTCTAAGGAGAGAATAATTGATTTCTAAGAAAACAACAACAACAACAACATCAAGCTTTTATCCCACTACGTGGGGTCGGCTACATGAATCCTTTTTCTCCATTGTGTGAAAAAAAAAAAAATCTTATTCTTCCTCATTTACATTTTTTATGTTAACTAAATGTAAGCCAAGGGCAATATCAAGGTGCTTACAATACTTGAGCATTTCATATTTAAAAAACTTTTAGCAGTCACAAGATAAGCATGTGTATTTAGACCATTTATGACAACAAACAGTATCAACCTTATAGATGCTTTCTGTATTGCCAATGTTTATTAGTCAAAAAGCTATAAAATTAAATAAATTCATTGATGATAAACAGAGAAAAGCAAGTTTTCCACCTAGTAAATTTCAATTGAAAGTTTTGAATGGAACCATGTCAACAACATTATTAAAGTTATCCAGACTACTTAGAATAGGTTTTATCAACTATTAGAAAATATAGGTGGTTGATAGGAAATACTTGAGTTTGCAAGTAATCCAGAAATACTTGAGTTCGCAAGCAACCCTAACAATACATTGGTAAAAACAGCAATAAAATACACAAAATCATCAATGAAATCAACTCAAAACAATAGTTTTTATTATATAGAACAAAGCAAGCAAACATAAAGCAAAGATACAATTGATCCTCAATTCGAGAGGAGGATCGTTCTCTCCTAATCTCTAGACAATAAGCCTAGAGCCCAAGACCCAAAAAGATTTCAAGAGATAACAATAATCAAGCATACCCTAACCCTCCCCTCTCATCCCTATTTATAGCCTAAATATTCTAATAAAAAAATCCCTTTAAGGCTTAAAAGCCCCCCCCCCCTTCCCCCACTTGTTGGGCCGGTTGAGTCAGTTCCTCCTGAACCGACTTAACAGTGGTCAACCCTCCATCCCTAACACCTTTCCTGAGTATATTCAAATTATCTAATACATGTTGCTAATAGCAGGTGAGTATACAATTAAGTAAATTGAACCTGTTCCTTTCACATAGAAATTTTGATTTGGTTCAATTTCCTAGCTAATTTCAGGATCTTAATAATGTTCATCTGAAAGTAACATGGTCCATCCAAGAACTAATTTCAAGTATCTACTAAGGATCCCTTTTTTAATGAGAAAACATGCTACAGCAACAAGAAAAAGAGAAATACCTTTTTGAAGACCGATGCTTCAATCTTCTGGGAATAATTCACCAGCCAAGTAAGATGAAATGCTGATTGCATCAGTTCAAGTCATATTGCTCCTGTTCTCACTGCTTTAAAATTGATATTCCAGGATCTTAATAATGCTCGTCTGAAAATAAGCTGGCACATCAGAGAAAAGATTTCAGGTATCTGCTGAGGATCCAAACTTTTCTAATGAGAAAACATGCCCGAGAAAGATGCTTCGAGTTACCTGGAATAGTTCATCAGTTAGCTAAAATGCAATGCCGATTACTTCAGCTTCTGTCATATTGCTCTTGATGTTCCGAAGTAAACTCCTATGATAGAATGTTATGAGCTTTGATTGCAATGTAAAATCATCTAATGCACATAAACTCGTACCTTGAAATTCGGCTTCATAGACCAACCTTTGTAACTTTGAATAGTTTTAAGTCAACAAAATTAGGTTGTCATACAAACAAGCTGCCACACTTGTCAACCATGAGAGCATTACAATGGAAGCTCTAGCAACTTGATATTCCAACATTAGAAAAATCAAACTTCCTTGATCAAGCAAGTTCAGTCCAACTATAGCCAGCCAGCTTACTAATCCTCTTTGTGCGCAATTGTTTCCTAGCATTGTTAGACTCATCCCATTTCTCAGCATTAGCCAGCATGTTGGATAGAAGTGCATAAGTTCCTCCCCCTAAAGTCATTCCAGCATGTAGCGCCCTCTTTTGAATTCGCTCATACACAACCTCACCTGCGCCATGTATCTTGCAAGCACTCACTAAAGCTCCCCACACACATTTGTCAGGCATCATTGGCATACCAAGAAAAAAATCCTCTGCTTCCTTTAAACAAGAAGCTCGACCATAAGCGTCAATTATGCACGTAAAGTGCTCCTTTTCTGGAAGGACGCCATAAACCTCGCGCATCGCCCTGAAGAACATCAAGCCTTCTTCAATTAAGCCAGCGTGACAGCAGGCAGTCATCACTGCAAGAAAGGCTACATTGTCTGGTTGAACACCGTAACACAACATTAAAGCAAACAATTGCAAGGCATGCTTAGGCTTTCCATTTGTCGCCATTCCCTTTATAATTGTGCACCAGGAAACCAAATCCCTGCATAGAAGTCCACCAAAGATCCAAAGAGCCACCCCTATGGAGCCACACTTCGAATACATGTGGATGAGAGCATTACCTACAATACCATCTACATCAATGCCACTCCTAAGCGAGTAGGAATGCACACACTTTCCTAGCCTCAAAATCCCTGCGGAAGCACAAGCTCCCAAGACACAAGCCACAGTCAATTCATTAGGTACTATTTCTCCACCCCTTACTAGTTCTACAAAGATAGCTATAGCTTCTTCGTACTTTCCATGCTGCACATAGCCACAAATCATAGTAGTTACAGACACAACATCTCTATGGGGCATAACGTTGAACAGCTGAACTGCATCAGTGAAGGCACCACAGTTCAAACACACATCCAACAACGCATTGTCCAAAATAACATTTCGTCCATGTCCACCAAACCTTCTAACGCAAATCCCATGCAGGATTTTCCCCAAGTTGCCATCTTTAAGCCGGGAACACGCCGACAAAGCGCTCACAAGCGTCATTTCATTCGGATCAACATCCATAGAAGCAAAGGCGAGGAGCGCCTCAGCTGGGAAACCATTCTTCGCGAATGCCGACACGAGGGAGGTCCAAGAGACAACGTCCGGTGATGAGGTCTCAGAGAAGACTGTACGGCAAGCGTCGGGATCGAAGGTGGCGGAGTAGAACGCGAGGAGGGCATTCTGGACGAAGAGGTCGGAGTGGTGGCCGGATTTGAGAGCGTAAGCGTGCACCTCGCGGCCCTTTTGGATGAGGGAGGAGGTCAGAAAAGTGCAGGCTTTGAGGGCGAATGTGAAGGTGAAGTGGTCGTGGTGGGAAGGGGAGAGGAGCATCAGGTTGTAGATTGGAAGGACTTTTTGTGGGGTTTTGGAGAGAGTTAACGTTCTTAGGAGGGTGTTAATAAAATTGGGCTTTATGGTTTTTGTAATGTGGGCTTGGATTTGGGAGAGTTCCCGAGGATGGATGAACATCTCTAAAAGAAAACTCAGGGAAAGCTCATCATATTTTCCCCTCCTTGAAAAGCATTAGTATATTGATGGATATTACAAATGAGAAGAAAAAAAAGGAAAGAATTGCTCACAAATTTTTTATGAGGGATCACAATAATCATTGACTCTATAAAATTATCTATTTGGCATATTAACTCTTTCAATAGGAATCATATGAGTCATTTTATTGATCATCTAGGTTTTTATTTCAAAACTCAAGAAACTAAAAAGACTTTTGAATATTCAAAGATTATTTTAGTTTTTCTTAGAGAATCAAGGGATCATTTTGATTCTTATCACTATTAAAACTATAAAGAAGATAACTTAAAAGTATAACTATTTCCTTAAATATTATTTTGATATTAATATCATTATAACAATATTATTATTGCAAGCTGAAACATTTGCGGAGGTAGAGAAATAGAGAGTTTAGCATTTTAGTTTTGTATGAATATTCAACACACAAACAAATAAAAGGAGGTGCATGACTCATATGAGATATCAAATTTTTACCTAGAAATCCTAAAAAGAGAAAAAATCATGGGGCATTACCCAGTTGAAATAATATCACTAGTGTTTGTCATTGGTTACAAATGATGCATTGCCGCATGTAGCATATAAAATATATTATATATTTGGAATTGGAAGAATTAAATGGCATGAGAGTTGTTCTAAAGAGAATGTTGGCATGTTAATTTGGTCGATAAGATCGTATGGCCAACGATGGTATGAGGATCTTAATCAGGTAATAATGGTCCGAGGATCGCAATCAGGCAACAGTGGTTCGAGGATTATAGTCGGCTAGCAACGAATATCAGAAGGACAATAATATGTGGGAGATAGATAAGAGAGGTTGTAGTCAAGTGATGTAGGTCAGACGGAGATCCGAGGGAGTGTAATCGGATGACTGGGGGTCAGAGGGATCATAGTTGGACGACTAAGATCAATGATAGTAGTCGAGCGAGTGGGCGAATGAGCTCAATGGACTGTAGTTGGCGGGCGACGAAGGTAAGAAGGACTGTAGTGGACTGGTGACAAAGGTTCGAAGGACAATACTTGACGGATGAAAGAGGTTGGAAGGATCGTAGCTAATGGGTGAGGTGAGTGGAGAGAAAAATATATATATATAAACTCATTTCAGTGACTGACACCACTGCGCCTAAGTGACCCGTCACTGTTGTGTTGCATGTGATTCAAGATTTGTTGTATAATAGAGAGTTATAACACTGAGGCTCCACTTTCTATAGATTCTTAGCATCACTATCCATGCAGCTTTTAAAAAAAAATATGAAAATTCATATTATTCAAAACTAGGGTTGTTACACAATGAGGTTTAGAAAGATCATAGGTAGGTGACTAAGGTCGAAGGATTATAGACGACGGTCAATGAGGTTAGAAGGATCGTTGTTTGTGGGCAATGAGGGTCAGAAGAACCGTATTCGAGAGACTGAGGTTGAAGGACTATAGTCGATAGATGATAGAGGTCAGAATGACCATCATGGGGTGTGGTGCTCCAAGGATTGTTGTTGACGAGTGGGGTAGATCGAAATGATTGTAGTTGGGTGATGATGGTCCGAGGATCGTAATTGGGCTACAAAGGTTGATGGGACCATAGTTGGGTGATGGTGGTAAGAAGAACCATAGTTGATGGGCGAATGAGTGTTTATCAAAAGTGTTCAAGTTTGATCATTTAGCTTATCAAATGAACATAAACGAGCTCTTATCTAGCCGAGCGATGAGCAGCTCATCGAACACTATGTTTCTTTATAGTCCTATCAAAAGGATCGTAGTTGGTGGGAGAATAAATTTAGAAGCAACATAGTTTGATAATGGTATTTCGACGACCATAGTTAGCGGGAGAAATGTTAGGAGCGTGGTCAGGCGATGGTGGTTCAGGGACTATAGTCGGGCAATGGTAGTCTGAGGACCTTAGTCGGGTCAGACAACGGTAAGGGTTCATGTGATGGTGATGCTCGGTAGGGGCTCCAAAATTCTTTAAGCCTCAGAGCTCTCGTAAATCTCTAGTCCAAGGTTCAAGCCTTCGAGTCCCAAAGGTCCACTTCATGTAGGGAGAGTGACTCTATTTATATTTTTTGAGACTGACATGATTCGTAAATATGGAGGAAATCCAAAGGAAATTTGGAGTTCTCTATCGAACAACGCATAATGATTCCCTCGATCATGGAGCATTCATCAAGCATTTAAGTGCCTTAATGATGCCAAAACTAAGCAATCTTGGGCTTGTTGGATTCATATTGTCAAGCAGCACTATTCGACTATAAGCATACCATATTTATAGATAATTTAATCTTTTAATTACTATTCTAAAACTTCCAAATATGTTTTAAGTCATATAGTCTCGGATTGGACCAATTTCGATGTTATTGGGTTTGTCTCGTCAAGTCGTTCAGTTCGACTATGTGTTTGTTGAAATTAAAGTTTAGATGGTCCATACTTGATTTTGGAAGTTTCCAATTGAGACATACCTAAAGATTTGTTCCCGATCAAACCAATTTTTAGTGACGTATCAATTATCATCAAAATGATATTAAAAAAAATAGTTATAATGCATGTGGAAGATATCAAATTTATTTTAAGACGAATATTATATATAAATGATAAATTAAAATTTATATTATAGTTATTTTAAAATAAATTTGATAATTTTAAGATTTGTTATAAAAAATTAGATGAGTATTTTTTTATTATATATTATTTGTTCAAACACAAGGTGGTTTGACCAAATATTTTCCTATTTCGGTTGGTTTACAATTTTACATGAAGGATCATCCTTAAGTCCATATCTTTTTGCTTCAGTCATGGATTTTCTCACTAGATATTTGCAAGAGGATGTACTTTGGTGTATGCTTTTTGCTGATAATATTCTTCTTGTTGATAAGACTATAGAGGGAGTTGATGGTAAATTTGAATTATGGAGGTCAACTTTAGAGTCTAAAGATTTTTTCTTGAGTAGATCTAAAACTGAATATATAGAATGTAATTTTAGTAGCAATAGACCTAGTGAGGGGATTGTGACTTTGAGCGATCAAGTCATTAATAAGAGTACACGTTTCATATATCTTGGATCTATTGTTCAGAGTGATGGAGAAATTGATGGGGATATTATCAGCATAATTCAAGTTGGATGGTTGAAGTGGAGGAATGCATCAGGCTTATTGTGCGATAGAAAAGTCCCCCTCAAACTTAAGAGAAAATTCTATAAGATGGTGTTGAGACCTGCAATACTTTATGGTGTTGAATGTTGGCCATTAAAAGAGAAGCATAATACTAAGTTAAGTGTTAATTGCAGAGATGAGGATGCTTAGGTGGATGAGTGGCTTGACCCTTAGAGATAGGATACGAAATGAGCATATACGTGAAAAGGTTGGAGTAGCTCCGGTGGAAGATAAGATTAGAGAGAGTCACCATAGATGGTTTGATCACATTAAACGGAGGTCTTCCGATGACCCGGTTAGGAAAGTTAAGGAATTATATTTGACTTATGTTAAAAAAGGTAGAGGTAGACCTAAAAAGACTTGGTTAGAAAATGTTAGAAATGATCTTTCTTTATTAGATTTAAATGAGAATTTGACTTTTAACTGGACACAATGGCGAAAAAGGATTATGTAGCCGACCCCACGTAGTGGAACAAAGGCTTGATGTTGTTATTGTTGTTGTTGTATATTATTTGTTCAATATGATGCTTATTCAATTTTTAATTAGTGAGATTTAGATACCAATAAAATAAACCTAAGGTTTTAATAATTAATATGATTTTAAAAATAAAACTAATAAATTAAAATCATCATTTTCTCAAAACAATCTGTATCAACAAACAATCAAAGGAGGTTTCACATAACTTCAAATTGCTATATATATACGATTTCAACAACATTTCAACCACAGAATATTGCCTTCCAAAAAACAAAGGAACCACACAAATAATAACCTTTAACCACACAGATGACTCTCTTTTGTAGAGGAGGAGGCTTCGTTTGGGCCGGATAGCTTTAGACTATTATTTTTATCCTGCTTTCAAGAGAATTTTTTACTAAAAAAATAGCTTCACAAAGCTGTAAAAAAGCCGTCCCAAACAAAGCCAAAATCTGTCCATAATTCTCCTCAAAACAATAACAACAGAACTCTTTCATCTGCTCTCTCCTGTAGAGTTCTTCAAGCCTGGGAGCAACTGCTATTGTGCAGTTTAGTGTAAAGTTTGGGATTATGCATTGCTTGCAGAATTACAACGCAGTTTTCAAAATGATTGTGTTTGATCTTTATCAAACCCCAAAAAACTCGATATGATGATCGCGTTTGAATTTGAACCATTAGTGATAAACCTTGCTCTGATTCAAGCAAGTCTTCCATGCTCCTCCCTGCACCGTACATCGGCTTGTTCTTCAGGCCAATGAAGAGTTGCCTTATTGAAGAGCTTGTGCTTTCAACATAAGCTGCTTGGCTCTAAAGAAAGAAACAAAATCTCTAGAATTAGGATTCGTTTGAGAGGGCTGTAATTTTTTATAAAAATAGATTTAAACGAGAATTTGACTTTTAATAGGACACAATGGAGAAAAAGGATTCGATGTAGCCGACCCCACGTAGTGGGATAAAGGCTTGATGTTGTTGTTGTTGTTGTTGTAGTCATAAAATTATTGTGGAGAAAGTAATTTTTTTAAAAGCTGCAGCAGTAGAAACAACTTTCTAACATAAAAAGTTTCTGAAAGTAATGATCAAACAAAAACTGTTGTTGTATTTTGAAAAACAAAGAAATGATTCATGTAGTTTTATCCTTTGTATCATACAAAGCGTATTGTGATGAAATGAATTATCATTATGTTTTTATGGGAGAATTGCTTAGATATCATAAAAATGATGCGTATTTATAAATTTAATATCTATAAAAAAAAAACTAGATCAACTTAGCTTTCGTTTAGGACGACTTTCTTACTACTTCTTAAAGCTGTTTTTTAATAAAAAATTTAAAAGTTTTAAATTAAAAAGCTGCTTTAAGAAGC